CAGAGTGCAGGATGGATTGAATGTATAGGGCCAGAAGGACGGAGAGGAAAATTAAAACCATATGTAGCTAACATAGCTATGAATTTATGGAGCTGTGATCTATTACAACAATGGAATACCCAGATTAACATTCCTCCAACCTCAGAAATAAATCATAAACTAACATGTTTCTGAGAGAAATATTAGGAGGTATTATAAAGAACAGTCACCAGCCATCCAGATTGTACAAGAACAGGGCACAACAGCTGCTGATCTTTCAAAGACACCAACAGCCCTACCTTTAAAATGGTTAACAGACAAGACTGTATGGGTTCAGCAATGGCCTTTAGCAACAGAGAAATTTCAGGCTTTAGAAGAGCTGGTACAGGAGCAGTTAAATGCTCTGCATATTGAAGAATCAGCTAGCACTTAGAATTCTCCTGTATTTGTTTTTTTTTTTTTTTTTTTTTTTTTTTTTTTTTTTTTTTTTTGGTTTTTCGAGACAGGGTTTCTCTGTGTAGCTTTGCGCCTTTTCCTGGAACTCACTTGGTAGCCCAGGCTGGCCTCGAACTCACAGAGATCCGTCTGGCTCTGCCTCCTGAGTGCTGGGATTAAAGGCGTGTGCCACCACCGCCCGGCCGTATTTGTTATTAAAAAGAAATATGGTAAATGGAGAATGGTAACAGACCCAAGAGCAATTAACAAGGTAATTCAGCCAATGGGCTCTTTACAATCTGGAATTCCTTTGCCTACTCTGTTACCTAAAGGATGACCTCTTATAGTTATTGATTTAAAAGACTGTTTCTTCTCAATACCCTTACAAGAAAAAGACAGAGAAAGATTTGCCTTTATGGTGCCTACTTATAATAATTCTCAGCTGGTTAAGAGAAATCAATGGAGGGATCTCCCACAGGGAATGTTAAATAGTCCAACCCTGTGCCAATATTTTGTATGACAGCCATTGGAAGTAATACATAAACAATTTCCTAAATCTATAATTTATCATTACATGGATGATATTTTACTAGCTGATTCAAATGCAGATACTTTAGAAAGGATGTTTGAAGAAGTAAAGAAAGTTTTGCCTTGTTGGGGATTACAAATTGCTCCAGAAAAGATACAAAGAGGAGATTCTATTAATTATTTAGGGTGTAAAATAGGTCTACGAAAAATTAGACCCCAAAAGGTGCAAATTAGAAGAAATAGATTATGGGCTCTTAATGACTTTCAAAGATTATTCAGAGGCATTTCCCATCTATGGATTGTTGTTGGGGTAAAAAATGATGAACTGAGTAATTTGTTCAAAATCTTAGAAGGTGACAAGGACTTAAATAGTCTAAGAGAATTATCACCTGAAGCTGAGAGAAAATTAGTCTTGGTGGAAAAGAAAGTACAGGATGCACATGTGGATCATGAGGATCCAAAGCTTGATTGCATTTTGGTTACTTTACTCTCTAAGCATTCTACTACAGGAATTTTAATGCTGAGGGAAGATATCATATTGGAATGAATATTTCTACTAAATAAACAGTGTAAAAAATTAAAAACTTATGTGGAAAAGATCTGTGAGTTGATTTTAAAAGGAAAATTGATACTCTGTCAATTAACAGGAATAGACCCAGAAGAAATTGTAGTACCTTTAACTAAGGATGACACTGACAAATTATGGGCAGAAAGTGAACCTTGGCAAAGAGCTTGCAGTAATTTTTTGGGGGAGAGATTAACAGCAAATATCCCAAAAGTGATAGAATTCAACTTATAAAAAGAGCTGATTAGATTCTGCCTCACATTGTATGGGAAACACCCATATCTGGAGCCTTTACATATTTTTTTATTTATATTTTGTTTTTGTTTTTCGAGACAGGTTTTCTCTGTGTAGTTTTGGTGCCTGTCCTGGATCTCACTCTGTAGACCAGGCTGGCCTAGAACTCACAGAGATCCACCTGGCTCTGCTTCTCAAGTGCTGGAATTAAAGTGTCATCACTGCTGGCGAGCCCTTACATTTTATACAGATGCAAACAAACAAGGAAAGGCAGGTTATAAATCAGAACACTTAAGTAAAGTGGTTCTAAGTCCTTATAATTCGGTTCAAAAATTGGAATTATATACTATTCTGATGGTATTAATGGATTTTTTAGGAACCTCTCAACATAGTTACTGACTCTCAGTATGCTGAAAGAGTGATATTACATATTGAGACTGCAGAATTTATCCCTGATGAGTCAGAATTAACTGTGTTATTCATTCAGTTACAAGATACAATCAGGAGTAGGAAGCATCCCTTATATATAACTCACATCCAATCCCATACAGGTCTTCCAGGACTTCGAGCACAAGGTAATGATGAAATTGATAAATTATTGATAGGAAATGTGCTAGAGGCCTCAGAATTTCATAAGAAACATCATGTCAATAGTAAGGGTTTAAAAAATGATTTTTTCATAACCTGGCAACAAGCCAAGGAAATTATAAGGAAATATCCTACTTGTTCTTTTTACAATCAGACTCCACTACCAGCAGGATGTAACTCAAAGGGTATTCAGAGGAGTGAAATCTGGCAGATGAATATGTTTCACTTTGCAGAATTTGGAAAATTGAAATATCTACACCACAACATTGATACCTATTCAGGATTTCAGTGAGCAACTGCTCTGAGTTCTGAAAAGGCTGATTCTGTAATCACACATTTGCTAGAAGTTATGACCATCATGGATATACCTGCACAAATTAAAACTGACAATGCTCCAGCATATGTCTCTGTTAAAATGAAACAGTTTTTTTTTCTTACTACAATATAAAGCATGTTACAGGTATATCACATAATCCTAGAGGCCAAGCAGTCATAGAAAGATCAAACAGAACTCTAAAGGATATACTACATAAACAGAAAGGGGTAACAAAACCCCCCAGAAATAGACTGTATAATGCTCTATTAAATTTGAATTTTCTCAATGCCAATGAGAAAGGAACAACAGCTGCAGAGAGACATTGGATAATAGAAAAAACTACAGAATTAAATCAGCCTGTATACTTTAAGGATGTGCTGATGTCAGAATGGAAACCAGGATATGCATTACATTGGGGATGAGGTTTTGCTTTTGTTTCTACAGGAGAAGAAAAGCTATAGATACCATCAAAATTGATAAAGGTTCGATTTGAACAGGAGAGACCTCTTAATTAGAAGAGGTGATAGTTCATCGACCAGCATGACCATTCAGTTTAAACTAATTTATACCAGTAACAAATGCTTTTCATTTAATCAGATATAACTTGCCAAAAGGGAACCTCCCCAAAGTTAGGTTTGGAGAAGGGCTTTTGTTTTTGTCTTTCAGGAGAACAAAGGCTAAGGAATCTGAAGAACACTGGGCAAATGAGATATCTGAAGAAAAAGGACAAATCATTCAGAAAAAATGTCCCAAGAAAGAGTAAATTGGCCTAATGGTATATTACATATAAAATTTCATAAGTCTTCCTAAACGTTTGTTTCTGCTCTTCTCTGTAGATACTTAACACAAATGGTCTTTTTGTAGTCCCAGTTCAATTAAAAATTAAAGCTGGCTTTGGAGATGGGAAATGGCTCTCCTTCTCCAAACCCAAGCATGCTTGTTAAAAGAAAATGCAAAAATCTCTGTATCATGTCAGAAGAGCCATCTGATATGGGACAGAAGAAAACCAAAATTAAGGGACTATTCTATTGCCACTAATCTCAATTCTTTGGTTCTATTTAGATTCTTTAAAACCTTTAAAACTTTTCTTAAGGTATAAATTTTATATCAAAATTTATAAGATTAATATATATTTTAACTTTTGTTATGATATTAATGGTCATATAGAGTACTAACTAATTCTAGAAAAAAGGCTTCATCTAGCTGCCTGTACATATTTTTGTGTTTGAGTCTCTATCAGTTTTCTGCAGGGAATTGTAACTACACCTAACAGTGAATTTGAAGTCTCCAGAAACATGATGGGGCCCCACAACAATGATTCCACAAGGACAATAATAATACCACTAGGCTGACAACTATCACCCAAAGATCAGCTTTGGACGAAAAACTGCTCAGAACAATTACAAGATGCTAGCTGAGGTGATCCAGCCTCACAGACTACTCGAACAAGTACTTGAGATAAGCCCTGCACTTTCGCATTATGCAGAGATTGGACAACAAATGATACAGCTACCTCTCCCAGGACTTAACAATTAATTTAAAAATTTTCTTTTCTGGATCCCCTAAAGATGCCTTCAGACCCAGACAGCAGGAAGTAATTTTAAGAACACACCCACATTCCCAAGAGGTGGGGTGGGTGGTTTTTGGTCTTTCTATGGGTTTTGGATAATTGTCATTGTTTAGGATGGTTGGTTAAAAATTGTTATTGTTAATTGTTATTGTTAATGGTCATGAAAAAGGCTAAACAAAGCAGATTAAAGGTTCTTGTTTGAAAAAAGAACAAAAAGAGAAAGAAAAAGGAGAATATAGATAAGAGGTAGATTATTGAATCTACTCTGAAAAGAAAAAAGGGAGGATATATATATATATATATATATATATATATATATATATATATATGATACAGATAAAAAGACATGTTATCGAATCTACTTTTAGAAGGCAACTACTAGTTTTAAATATTTTACATTGGATTGGATTTTTGTATATTGCATACAAATTATGTATATTAATACCAATTTGAGATTGATTTTGTTAGAATATATTGTACATATCTTTCTAATCTTGTTCAAGATATTGTACCTGTACAGTTAATTTAACAATGTAATGCAATTTGCTAATCCTTGAAAGTTATTATTACCAACTATTAGGATATAAAGAAATGAAAGTTAGTAGTTAGTCATTACAATCGAACTTGTAGTCATATTAGGTATGTTTTCAAGGTCAAGCAGAGATATATTTTAGATAGACAGGTTACCTTCAAACCTTTCAGAGATCTACAGAATAATGTATCTCAGATGTTTTAATAACAATAGATTTTCTTTTTTTTTTTTTTTTATGACTATGAGACTTGTCTGCTCCTGGCAGCACCAATCTACTTCAGAGAAGATGGGCATTGAGGAATCTCCATATGGAGGTTACTTTTATTGTGGCAAAAGTTAGCCTCACATCGACTACTGACAGTATGCTGTCCAAATGGACAAGAAGGACACAAAAGAAAGGACTGCTGATCCTTGCCAAGACAAGGTAGGAAGGCTCTTTAGAAAATCCTGCTTCACAAATGAGTCTGTCAGATATGCTAGGCCAGTAGGCTGAAGTTGATGCCCCAACGTTGCAGAGAAACCTCGGGTGACTGTCCAGGCAACTGGCTGTTTCTGTCATTTCTCACACTTTTTGGAAGTCACTTGTTTGCACTTTCTGTTTTACTAGGTAATATTATTTCCTTCTTTGGTCTCTGAGGGAGTTGAAGATTATATAGTTATAGTTACAGTTTTCCTCATTAACAATTTCAGAAAAGAAACTCACTAAGAGGTGTAAAGTGTATAAAAGTTTGAAAGACATAAAAGATAGTTTTCTGTTGGTAATACAAGTTAGGATAGAAAGTGAGTTAGGTACATTTTAAACTTACCAAAATAGGACAGATAATGTAATATTTTCTCTGAGTTTGTCAAATGGAAATGGACTAGACATTGTTGATGTATTTATTGCTTGGATATATTGTATATAGTTATTATACTTATTGTATATAGTTTTTCTTATATTAGTTATAATTTTTTTTATTTTTTATTAGACAAAAAAAGGGGAAATGTGGTGATATTTTATCTGTGTCCCCCAATAAAGTTTATCTGAGGATCAGAGGAAAAACCTGCCGCTATATTAAACATAGAAGTCAGGTAATGGTGGCACACGCCTTTAATCCTTTCACTTGGGAGGCAGGAGGCAGGGATCTGTCTGGATCTCTGTGAGTTCAGGGCCACACTGGAAACAGAGCCAGGTGTGGTGGCACATGCCTTGAATTCCAACACTAGTTAACCATAAAGATCTGGAGGTCTGTACAGACAGACAGGAAGTGACAGAGCTGGGCAGAAAGAAGAAGTGATGTAGCTGGGTGGAGAGAGGAAGTGAAATGCAGAACAGAAAGGCATATAGGTGTGGGTATGCAGGAAGTAGGACTCTTTGGCTGAGGATCTCCAAGTGGTAAGAACATGGCTGGCTTCTTTCTGCTTTTCTGATCCCTCAGCTTTTCACCCCAATATCTGGCTCTGGGTTTTTTATTAATAAGACCACTTAGCACTTTGTCTTACACACAACCCTCATCAAAGGCATGCTCTTGTCTTTGTTACTGTTCTATTGCTATGAAGAGATATTATGACTGAGGCAACTCTTATAGAAGAGAGCATTTATTGGGGTCTTGCTTACAGTTTCAGAGGGTTAGTTCATGATCATCATGGCAAGAAGCAGTTAGGCATGGTGCTGGAGCAGTAGCTGAGGGCTTTACATCCTGATCTGAAGGCTGCAGACAGAGAGAGACTGGACCTAGTGTAGGGTTTTGAAATCTCAAAGCCCAACCCCAGTGACATGTCTCCTCCAACAAGGCCACACTTCCTCCAATAAGACCATTATCGCCTATGGTTAATTTTGTCTCCGAGGTTTGGAGGTCCTTCCTAAACAGTTCACTAACTGCCAACTGGAGACCAAACATTCATACATATGAACCCATGGTGACCATTCTCATTAAACCACCACAACCCCCAATGACAAAAACCTATCACCAGGCTCCACCTCTTAAAAGTCCTACGGCTTCCCAGGAGGCCCACAGGTGGGGTGAGGGACCAAACCTCTGCACATAAACTGCTGAGATCATTCAAAATCCAAACGATAGCAAAAGGCAAGGCAGGCCATGACTGGAGAATACGTGGAGACAGGGAGAGGCTGTGAGCCTTTGGCCTCACACACCTGTCTCCTGGTGAACTCCAGGGTGGGGAACAAATGCAGCGTTGGTGCCCCGCTGGGGAGACTGTGCCTCCTTCTCACATCTTGGGCACCTAGCATTTCACAGGTCCTCGGAAAGCGGTGCTTAGATGAGCACACAATGGATAAGGAGTGTAGACCTGGAACACACTTGAGATTTAGCTGCTGTTGCTCAATAGTAAAAAACCTTTTTAGGATCTCTAGAAGCCAATCGAAAAGCCTGACATTTATTTGTTTTCAATCTGAAGCAAGTCAGGGGCCAGCAAAGCTATCAAAACTCAAAGGCAACAAGGCTATTTCTACAGAAAGCACCTTGGTAACCATAAGCTGTGATGTAAGTATTATCAGCTCCCACACTCTTGCATTTGGACTTCGTGGACTCAGCACCCCATTAGGGAACCTACCTCATTGTTATATAGCTTTCGAGTTAGGTGCCTCTTTTCCACAATTACAGGCACAATTGGCCTTGCTGTGCATTGGTTTCCAGAGCCTAGGAAGCCTTGCTTTAGCATGATTTCTTGGCATTGGTTGGATGACTGGGGCTTTTTCCTCTACCCTGCTTTCTTTACCTTGAAAATGTGTATGATGATGCTGGGAAGCAGTATGCTAAGAGCTTGACTCTCATTCCTGGTTGCTTTGGGTCAAATTCTGGCTCTATTGTTTATATGCTCAACTTAGGATGGAGTCCTAAGATCTTGGTGCCTCACTCTTCTATGTGGATGATAACAGAATTTAATTTGTGGGGCTGTGGGCAAGCATTTTTTAAGCAATATATAGGTATTAGTTACTTTATCTGTTCGTAGTGGTAGAGGCATTATAGGAGATAACACAAAACACTTAGGTAGAGGGTATTGCCTGAAATAGTTAAAATAAAAGTTTAAAAAACCATGGCAATATTAATGGATTTTGTTAACAATTTGTTCATACTACTTATTCTCTGGACTAAACATACATTCTCCATTGCCACATTGCCATATTGCCAAGCTTTCACACCTGTCTGTCTGTCTATCCATCCATCCATCTATCATCATCATCTATCAATCATTTATCTATCTATCTATCTATCTATCTATCTATCTATCTATCTATCTATCTATCTATCTATCTATATCTGTCTGTCTGTCTGTCTGTCTGTCTATCCATCCATCCATCCACCTACCTACCTACCAGGTCTTGTAATATATATTATATTGGTTAATTGTCATGTGTTAATTCAGTCACTGAGAAGCTGGCTCTAGAAGTGGAGTTTCCCTGCCCCCACCCCCATTTCAGACCCAAGTGTGTTTGTCTCGAAGTGTCCTCCAAGGCTAGAGGACTGGGCATGGGGTGGCCCCCATAACTCTGTGATAGTGGGGCAAAAGGACCCAAGAGTAAAAACATTGTGTCCTTGAGAACCGCTAGACGGTAAACTATTTCCAACAGATGTTACTATTGTTTATCCACGATCTAAAAGTGTCTACAGTGGAAAAGCAAAGCCAGGATTCAGACAAGGGAAGCTCATCCATGAACTGAATTCCAACTCACTGTCCAAACTTCCCCACTAAGCTTCTGGGAGATAATTGTGAGCCCCCTGGTTTGTTGACATCATTTCTATCTGCTGTTACTTGATCTTTGACCTGAAAATCTCACGCAGGAATGAGGGGAGTGTTGCTGTGCCCAGGACTCTCTCTATTGGGACCTCTAGCTTACTGCTTCATTGGGACTTCCTCAGTTGGTTTTTATGGATATTCTGAGCACCCAACTTGATATTTTCCTATCATCCATCCGTCTGTCTGTCTATCGATGTACCTATGTATGTATGTATGTATCTACTATCCATCTCTGTTTCTCTCTATATATCTATCTATCATCTACAATCTATCTTTCTCTTGCTATTTTTTTTGTTTTGGCTTGTTATACACTTAATAAACTCACTCATTCAAACCTGAATGAATGCCTATCATAGGTCATGTCGTTCTCTGAACCACACAGAACAGCCCTGTACGGATGCAATGGGGCTGGCACTTCTATCATCTGTACCTTGACTGTGTGATATAAATCACCTTGGTCCTTTTAACCTTTTGCAAACATCAGTCGTCATAGGCAAATTCAAATCACATTTAAATATTTGCCAAACTGCTGGAAACTAAGACTCTACAGTTTCTGTGTCTGAGAAACCCAATGGTACAATTTCAAAGCATGTTAACAGAACCTCTGTCAGGAAGCAACAGCTTACAGGCAAGAGCAAATTAGACTGTGGCTGAGTAGTGAGATTGTCAGAGAGGGAAGTTGGGATAAAAAAGAAAAATTGAATCCGGAGGAGAAAGCCCACAACGCTGGCTGTGTGTCATGAGGCAGATCTAAGTCAGCACAGTCCAAATTCTGCAAGTGCCACAGCCACCTTTCTCCACCTCTGCAGAGTCCGGATTAGTGGCCTCCACCTGCCCTTTGATCTCTTGGAGACCTTGGACCTTTAGTCTCAAGCTCTTGCCTCCCTGAGCCCTTAGGGTGTCACTTTGGCCCCACCCCCACTGCTTGTCAGTTCTGTCACCAGCCTGCCTGAAATCATCACATCTGTCTCTACTCACTACCCCATCCTGTTACCCGTGGTCCCACTGATGTACACATCTTCCTCTACCATCCAGGTCCTCACAAGCTTCTGTCCCTTCTTTGGGGTGAGCCCACACATTTCTAACTTGTCGCTAGGTATTTTCATACAGATTTTTTTTTTACTGGCCCCCAAACTCAAAATGTTCAATACAGAATTCTGTTTTTCCTACCTCTTCATCAGGCTGTGGTTTCCATTTTTGTTAAAGACACAACTGTCTGAACCCCAAACCCGGAAGTAACTTCACGGTCACTTCCTCCCTACCTCAGCGTGACCACACTGTTATCTCTCTTGCGTTTTTTGGGCTGTTCAGAATCCCCTATCAAGGTTGTTATTCAGACATTTCCCCACCTGGATCTTCCAAAAACAAACAAAGAACCTTCCTGTCGCACTCTCTCTTCATCCCTTTCCCCTCTCACCTCATTGTGTACTCTACCATCAATCTTTTTCTGCAGTAGCAGGTGGCTTCACCTTCTCTGACATTGCATTGAAAGCTCTTCATCAACCCAGTCTTCCTCGCTGCTCCATCTATCATTAATACCCACGGCTTAATACTTCACCTGTTGAAATCAGCCAGTGAAAATCCCTCTTTGAAGCTGGAAGGGAAATGTGTGTGTGTGTGTGTATGTGTGTGTGGGGGGTACTCCAGGAGTGGAGGGAAGGTGAGTATGGTCAAATTACATTGTAT